AAGCCTGCATGTTCAAGGAAAGGTTGTGCTAATTGAATGAAGTAATGAAGGTTTGAGGAACTAAAGGAAGTAATGCAAATACTTCCTCCTCACAGGTATGAAAAAGAGCATAAAATGTGATGCTGAACATCAGTCTTCTTCTAGCACTAATGAAAATGAATGAGTGCAGAAATAAGTTTGTACTGACTGAGTATTAAGGCAGAAGTACCACTTTTAACTTGGTGGGAAATGTGTATATGAAAAAATACAGAAGTGATGTAGGGACACATTTACATCACTTATGGGAACACTGATGCACCAATAAACCTGTTCCCTTGTTCCTTTCCTATGAACACCGTGCTGAGAGCAAAGGGGACACTTTCTTATTTGGCACGGATCACCAGCCCAGCAGGGATAAGTAAGAGGTTACTGATCTGACTGTAATTAGGAAAACATCATCCATAATACAAAACAGGGTACTTAAAATAAAATGCTAGTTTGTTTCCTCTTACCAAGTGTGATACTTTGCAACTCACATTTTAAAAGAGAGAGAAAAAAAAACCAACAAGCAAAAATACCAGCCTCACATCACTGGCTAAAACCCACACCCTGAAGGAGTGAAGCAGGTTACAGCGAGTTATTTGCTCACAAGCCTGTGTCAGGAATGGTGCCTGCATTCCACACGTTCTTCACTGCAGGGACAGCCTCAGCAGGAGGCAAGTTTCAAAAGCACACGAGGGCTCAAAACCTGCAGTCGAAAATTAACTTGTAAACAGCTATATGGCTGTTTTGATGAATTACATAGATCTTCAATCTTCCTTCCGTATCAACATGAAACTACACTGTTGATGACAATTACGTTGTTTCACCAAAGTAAATTCTCTTTTCCAAACAAGTATCCTTTGCTCTACAGAGATGTTAATTAAAAGAAGTTACGCAATTCAGAAATGAGACAAAATGGGAAATAAAATGTATTTCAGAGCCATCTGTACCAACCTCCAAGGCCCCAGACTGCTGTTACTGCCTGCAACTGCCCAGAAGTAAAATCTTCAGTAGTTTTCATGGGCATAAAATGTAACTGAAGAAAAGGCCAGAAGACAACAGATGTATTTTTGGGTTGTAATGCTTAAGCTGAGGCTTACCCCAGTTCCAGAGTTACCCCAAGGCAGACACTAGCTTACTGCTGCTGTCGAGGGTAAAAGGAGGCTGGGGGCCTCGCTGCAGGAGTGCCAGGCTCCAAGCTGCTGAAGTTTTGCCCCCCTCAATACCTTCCCTCACCCATATGGCAGAACAGGCAGAAGGGAGAATGAGGAGCCCCAGAGAGCAACTAATTCTGCAAGCAACCTTTGCAAACAGTGCAGGAAAGCTTTGCAGGCCACAGGCTCGTATATGACTAGACAGTGGGCTAGAGAAGAAATGAAGATGTAAACTAGATCGTGTACATATTTAAACTTACATTTTTGTTTCTACTAAAATCCTGCTGTTGTCTTTCCAGGAATGCAGAGAACCCAGCCAAGTATTTTCTTAATATGTACACAGGCCAAATGCCAGAGATTATATATTCAACAAAAAGAAATACATTGAGAATCTAGCAGTACTTAATTCTTCTCAGATGCTAATGTAAAGATTATTTTTAAAATATATAAAAAATAAGATATTTCTTTCTCTTCACTGAAATTCACATGTGGACACTTCAGATTGTGGGGCCTTTCAGTAAGTTCTCTTGTTTTTTTTGTTTTTCCTGGATAACAATAGTTAAGAGCGCCCTGAAAAGTATAGCTATGAAGTATGAATGAAGGCACCTCTTTCAAGTGCAGTTACATCCCAATTCAACCATTTTTAGGCACATTTCCTGTGGCTAGTCCATTGCAGGACATCCCAGCCATCACAGATAAATGTTCTCTGTGTATACCTGCCAGGAGAGGGGCATCATAAGATGGTGGCAAACAATGTAACAGTAGCAAATTAAAAACAAACAAAAGCAATCAATCCCCCCAAAAATGGTGCCTGCAACAAGGATATGCCAGTTTTTGGCTGAATTTACTTCAAGAAAAAGAGGTTTTTCTACCCTTTAAAAATGAAATAAACAAAAACATGCTCCAAATCAGTGGCAGCTTTACAAAAAATAGTGATACCTATAGATGAACATGATCAAGGAGGAACTGAAAATAAAACTCAATACTATTGAGCTTTCCTTTGCAGGTGTAGGAGCAGATTAATCTACCAAACTGACAAAATCTGGATAATTTGTGAACAAGAATTAGTGGGACAAAAACTAATGTATCAAAATGGGATTATTCTAATAATGTTGGATACACCCTGAAAGTTATTAAAATGGTCAATTTTATCTACTGTATTTCTGTACTGACACTAGGCAATACAGTGGTGGTTAGAAAGGATGGTCATTCCAGCTAATTTTTCTGGTTCAGCTGTGACAGTGAGATTATTTTTGAAAACCTAGGAAGGAAGAAAGGCAAGGAGAAAATGTCAAGCAAAAATTCAGTTGAGAGTACATTAGGACAGAAAGTAACAAACTGATCTGTGGATAGAAGCTCATCAGGGTCAGTATTTATGCCAGGCTGTATTATTCCAATAGCCAAGAAACCAAAATAGTACATTGCCACCATGTCATCCATATTGTAAATCTGTAATTATATCATCTGATGGCAGATGGAAATTATTTTAACTTCATTTTTTTATGCTGTCCCCAGAAATAAGAATACAGTCTGTTATAATACAACTGTGTGCATTACTTCACACAAACATGCAGACGCACTTTCTTTTCTGTGAGGCTCTTTGGTTTGAGGTGACAGTGCTCAATCCCTCTGTCTTCCTGCAAACTGACTTTTTACAAAGTGCACTTTGGAAAAACATTCCACTCCCTGAGGACGAACTTTCTCTAGATGAAAAAGGTTTCCAAAAATTATAAGACTGGAATTTCTACTGAGAAGCAACTCCAGAAGGGGAAAGGATGAAAAAAAAGTGAGGTAAAAAAGTGGAAAAAAAGAAAGCAGCTGTATAAAGTCACATTATCAATAGGAATACTCAATTGAATATTCAGTAACAGCTATTCAGAGATTAAAAACAGGGAAAAGCATGCACATGTTTCTTCATAGAACGAAGAATTGAAAATATGGCTTCCAATACAGACATTTTACTTCAAAGCAGAGCAAGGTAAACACACCATGGTACTTGACATGCTGGCATGGGTTGATTGAATCCCTTCCTGATGATGCAGATTTATTTGAAATGGAGCCCTTCTTTGGGCTGGGCTACAAATTGTTTAATACCTTCCTTGAAATCTTCAAGTCTACAAATTCTTCATTATTGTTTCCCAATTAGTATTTATGTTGTTGACACAAAATGGAACAGCTCCATTAGACGAAGATGACCACCCCAAATATTCAGCACTGCTAACAGAAGACATTCAAAAGCACAAAAAATAACAGGCCAATACCCTGTCAGGCACAGGAGGGAAGCTGAACCTCTGGGGAGTCCCTCTACATTTCTGCAATTTGGTAGCACACTATACATTTGGTTTTGTCACCCTAGAGCAAATTTTTGTTACAACTATAGACAATCATAAATTTGAACGCAATATAATGAACAATTTTAGGGTGACTAGGGTACTTCCTTTCTTTGCAAGCAATCAGCTGCCTACCCTTACTTAATCGCTACATTTGAGTGAAGAAACCCTCCAAAAAGTACTGATAGGATAAGTTATCCTTTCCTGCACTCACTATAACACTGTTAGTTTGTCAAGTTGCCCAGCCAAAATCATCGTTACTTCAGAAGTAATGGTGACTTTCAAAACAATCCATTTCAAAAGCAAGATGTTACTTTTCATTCACAGAATGACTTCTTTGAGAATTTACATTCTCCTTTCAAATGTGTTCCAAGGAAAACTTAACTCCAGGTTTATTTCCTTTCAGTTATAATTTGTATCTGGATTCTGAGAGGATTTGCTGCCTTGGCTCTGTATGGGGTTTTATTTTAATATATAACAAAATCAAAATTGGATCCCTGAACAGGAACCACAGTCAAAGATCACGAATTGCTTCTCTGTGTAAGGCAGGGGGAAAAAAAAGTTTATCCCTATTGAATTTCAGGGTTCAGCACACATAGCAGGACTCCTGAATTCTGTCTGGTGTTTGCACAAAAAATCCTCTCATACAGCAAGAAACGAAACTCTCTTTTCCACTCCAACAACCACATAAGAGAGCCCAGTTAAAACATTCCTTGGCTTTCCTCTGAAGCATAAACATGACCATGTTTAACCTAGTCCTTGAATCAGATGATTGGTGTGTACCACATAAAGCTCTGGTCTGGTTCAAGGACACTGCCTAAGCACAGCAATGCTGGATGACTGCTGCCCTGAACAAACAGCTCCTCTTTCCACCATTCACTGTGCAAGGCAGAAAGGATTGCCCAAACACTAATGTGCTGCAGAGCAGTTTTCTTTCAGCTCATTCCAGCTACTATCCTAAGTTTTTCTTTCTCTCCCCTCAACATGCACCCATGTCAAAAGAAATTACCCTTTCTTTTTACTCAAAGAATGGTTCCTGATTGCTCCCATGCATATGGAAGACTTCAAGATCAAAAATGATTGCACTAGATAAATTTCATTTTCTCCCAGTTTAAACATTAAGGGTTTTCTTCCTGCTTCTGAACTACAAAAAATAAATAGTAATAAAAAACCAAACATATTTGAGTTACTGATTAGAAGTGCCTAAACAGCCAGACTAGTTATAAACAAGTCAGTGATGACAGACTACCATATGTCAAGCTTCCCATTATTGTGCCATTCTGTTATAATCACCTTAGTTATAACAAGTAATTTGTCCACTTAACAACAATGTAATGCAAGAAAGTGTAACTACTTCTGTAGTGTGTTGCTGTCTATAGCAAAGAAACTTACAGCTCATGCACATTATCATCAAGCATTTGTGTAAATGGATCAAGTTGCCAAGTATGCAGCTAACCTAAATAGTCTCAAAAGAAGGAAAGAAAGCAAACTTTACCTTGTGTATTTTGTTGAAATATTTTGTTTAGATCCAAAGAGGAAGCTCTGGAATGTGATTTCTGTGGCCTTGGAGGTGGAGTAGGGGGCTCTTCTCCCTTTTTCATGGCATCTTCTATTGATGTGCTAGAATATGACCTAAGGAAGAATGGGGGTAGGAGGGGATGGAGATAAAGCAGAAAGTATTTTACTTCAGAAATTCATTTTAAACAACTACACTGAAGAGTATCTAAAAATATACTGACCAGAACTCTAGTTAATGGTGGAAATTCCTTGTCCTAACTAAAAGTTCTCTATTATAGTAAGACAGATTTAATTTTTTTTTTTGCCAACAGAGGGACCTACACATCTGGGAAAAGGAATGGGTCATGCTGACAGAGACACTATTTTTTTAAGGCCTTTTCTATTACAGCTTCAGGCTCTTCTCATGTAACTTTATGTGCCAACAGAGTAATTGTATATTCACTTCAAGATTGTATTATCTCTTACTCTAGTTAATGGTGGAAATTCCTTGTCCTAACTAAAACGTAGATAGTAAATCAAACAGGAGTTTAATTTTTTTTTTGCCAACAGAGGGACCTACACATCTGGGAAAAGGAATGGGTCATGCTGACAGAGACACTATTTTTTTAAGGCCTTTTCTATTACAGCTTCAGGCTCTTCTCATGTAACTTTATGTGCCAACAGAGTAATTGTAGCAACTATTTTGAATAAACTGAGTAAACTTCCACCCCCCTTGTTACAGTTTCTGTTGCCTTTCCCCACTGTGAGGGTAGTGTTTATACAGGTATAGCTCCAACCTACCTCTTCCAAGTACATATTTTGTAGTTTATAGTATTCTAGCAGAATAAATTTTCTATTGCAAACAGTCACCTAATTCCCCAAAATCCAGAAAAATCAAATGGCTCCAAAGTAACCAAAAGTGGTCAAATACATGTCCCAGTGCAGACAGCCTTCTATGCTCTTCCACATCCCATTAATCCCAACGTGGTACATTTGATTAGAATTTTGATTTTGCTGAATAGTGTCCAATATTTTTCAGCTGTTGTAGTTAACCACTTTTCTGCAAGACGAAGAGCTTTCTTCAAAATGAGCATTGACAACGTGAGATGTTACACTTACTGTAACACATTACGCATGACAGGCAAGACCAAAAACATATTCAAGTAGAACAGAAATTACTTCTACTAATGGGAAACGGATCTGTTTTTTGCCAGACATGCTGCTGTTAGAAAACAACTCTTTAACAGAACAGACATTTGGCAATGCTGATCCTATGTTTTTTATGTAAACTTTAATCAACACAAGAGTGAAAGCTATAATTGCCTCAAAATATACATGTGGCACAAAAAACTTTGCTGATGTTGAATTTTTTATCTTGGTAGAGTCCTGGTTTCCATATTCATGTCATGTAAGAACTAACCCACCCCGCCTGAAATAAGTGGGAGAGCTTTGAATCAGAACCTTAAGGTTTTACGATTTCACTTCCCATATTATGCAGTATATATTTTACATGCATTACAACTGGACAATCTAACAGCTTGATATTTTAAATTTTTTTGTAAGGCTGAGTAAGATATCAGCTATCGGGCAAAAATATGCCAGCCCCAGCAGTGCTAACACAGAGCCCTGTGACAGGGAATCATTGCTTGCAGCAGACAGACTTGACACCTAAAAGTCAGTGAAGAGTCAGCAGCAAAGAAACTGCACAGCTTAGGCTAGAAAAGCAGGACCCAGAGCTGAGAGCTGCAGACTTGAATCATTGCCTCTGGTGGTTGGGCACACCTGAAGACAGAGACCCTTGAGCCTATAGAGCCCTCCAGGCTTTGCAGGGCAAGCAAAGCAGAAGGTCTGAGTTCAAGGATGTGCTCAAGAATCTTTAGTCTCAACTTCTACCTTGAATTCATGAGACACACTCATATGTGAGACAGTCAGATGTGGCACAGTAGTCATATTCAAGTGATTTATTTCAAATTTGCTTAAGCAGTTGTAATTTTATGCTGTTTTGCATAAAATACTTTTTACACATATTTTGCATATTTGCAATTTATGGTTCAGTAACACAGCAAGACAATTTAAAACAGTATGAAAACTAAAAAGCTTTGGTTAGCAGTTGGAAAATAGCACTCAAGGCAGTTCATCCTTCCTGGATGTGGGTCCTAAGAACAGAGGATTTCAATCTTCATTCATCATGCATATAGCTGATCCTTTCTTATTAGCAGGCTTTGACAAGCTTGTAAGAAGGGAGCTCCTGATTATACTCTCATTACCCCAGAAAAAGAAATTAAGCCCTCTAACTAGCACCAAGAAAAAAGTTTGAAGGTGAATGCACAATATGTTTACACACCAGAATGGTGAACAACCAAAGCCAACACATAATCCATTAATATACAGTATTTTCTGGTACAGGTTTCCCTTTTGTTTCAAAATACCCACATTCAGCAGGTGCCACTTCTCATGGACCAGTGAGAGTTTGTACGCCTTTCCATCACACACCAACCAGGCATAGCCAAGAACACACACTAACAAGAGGATTCACTCACCCACATCCATGAGCTGAGCTACTATTGCTGTTTCTGTGGGAGTGTGCAATGTCTCCCTTCATATGCAACCATTGTGCAGGTTTCACCAACCACTGTGCAGGTTTCACCAACATGAAATGGCTGAGAACATTCCCCGCAATAGGGTGGTCCTCACTGTCCCACCCTGACACCTCCAGGGCAGGGCTGGAGACAGTCACCAACCCCACAAAGCAGCCAGGCTTGGCAGACCAAGTCCCAGCATCTTACAACCAGAGATGGCAGGGTTGTAGGCAGTACTTATGTAGGGTCTCTAGCTTATAGATCTCTCCTGGTATACATGCCTTTTATCTGAGCTGGACTTCCAGCACAACACCAATTAAAAAGAATGAATTAAAAATTCAACACCAGGTCTTACACCCTGAGTCTAACACCAGAGGAACATATGTCTTCTCCAAAAACAGAAATGAAAGCAGTACCTGGATCGTGGTCTGGCTTTCAGTGCGTAAGATTCCTGAGCAGCTGAAACAGACAAAAAGAAAAAAACAAGAAGTACTGCTAAAACTTCATATTTTAAATAAATGCCCTTAGGTGCAGGATCAGCGTTCATTAAAAATATGACTGTTGCAAATGCGGATGCGAGATTGGCAAGACTGTGCTCATTTCACATGAGCAATGGGGATTTGTTTTCATTTCTTCTTCCCCTTTGCTTCTGTCGTGCGTAAATGTCCCAAGAATTCAAAAGCCCACATGTAGGCAGACCTTCAGCTTTTAACTTGGTAACCAGAATGCAGGAAAAGCAATAATAGGTCTGATAGCACTAAACTGTACTCCTGGATGTAGTTTTGACAGACCAAAATAAGGAACAGCATCAACTTTCCACAGCAAAGACCTTACTCATAGTCCAAATATCTATCAGTTGTCCTAATTCCCAAAGCACAAAGGTTTATGTCCTTCACAAATACTTGAGTAATTAGTATAAATGTACATCATCTTTCCACTCATAAAAAAAAAATTAACACATCAGGTTGAGACTACACTGACATAGAGAAGGAAAGCTATTTTAAGGCAGAAAGCTTTAAAGGGTAAATATTGATCAAACACATTTCTATTAATGTAAAAACTGGTTTTCTTTCATTTGGATGAATTCCAAATATCCTGCCACATGCAGGTTTTGTGTGACAGAAAAACAAGTGCTGACTTACCTTCTCTGCATAATTCCTTGAGGCCATTCCTTGGTTTACATAGTCTTTTTGTGACTTTTCTGCTGCTTTCCTTACTAACATGAGATAATTTTGAGAAAATATTATCTGTGTGATTGCTTTCAAATGTGGCCCACTGAGATATCCTCCAGGTATCACAGCAGCAGCAACAATCCCAATGCATACACAAAATGAATACTTGTACTTTTCCCATTATTCTGCTAATCAAGGTACAACACTTAGATGAAGCAAGTATGCTGGGGAATAAAATTCTACGACTTTCTAGCTTCCTTCAGGTATATGACTACTTCCAAGTTGGACATTTATCACCAGCTACTATCTGAGCACATACAGCACTATCTGAGAACACAAGAGCTCCTCCAAAACATAGAGCAGGAGCTACCTGTGGTACCAGCTGGCAATTTCTGACTTTGTAATGGCTTGCACTGTACTACTCCACAGACCCTCTGAGGGAGGCTTCAGGCTCACAGAAGACAAGTAGCATCATATGGCATATGTACAGCCACACACTATTTCTCCATAAAAGAAACTGCTTTTAGGGTCACACGGTGCTAGTCAGTGCTTTGGATGGAATAAATCCAAATGCAGCTGGCAGTGACACAAACAACCACTTATAAACCAAGTTCTAGTAGCTTATTGTCACCAACAAACTGGCTCAGAGTCATCCAGATTTCTGAGCAACAAACTCTTCCTAGCAACTAAAGGGAAGAGAGGGAATTATTATTAAAATATGCAGTGGTGATAATCCTCCTCTCTCTCTGTATCCAACTCCCAGAGAACACAACTTCAGACACTGCTCCCCTACAGCAATATGACCCAATTTTTCCAGCATTGAAATTGCTGATTATTAAATTATATGCACAATTATTAAATGTATGCCACTTAGAAATAGGAAGTATAAATCCTTTCCAAGCTAAGCCAGGTTTAAGAACCTTCACATTTTCCTTCTTTTATGGAGACCATAATTCTGTTCATGCTTCTTTTAGAAAACCTTTTGTCTAAAAACCTGCAGGTAAAACTGACATTCAAACTCCCCAAGGACATCTTGTTGAGGTAAACAAGAAGGCACACACGGAAGAGAGAATCCCAAGATGACTACTAATAAAAGAGGCTAGAACACTGACATGGATTTTCTTTTAGGCTTTTGAAATACCAAGAAATTCAAGGCTACAAGTACACAACACCCAGACTTAGCTTTACCTTTCCAAAGAAGTAGTATAATATAAAACAATTATAAAACAGGCAGTTCATTATTAGGACATACAAATAATTGTGGCAAGATTTTAATAAAACATGCAGTTATTAAAACTCAGTATGTGCATGTTTTGTTTTGGAGGTGCAGGATTATACATATTCACATCACAATCATTTAAGATAACACAAAATTATTTACCCAGTTAATGAGTTTTCCATCTTTCTAGTGCTCTGGATACCTAAGCATAAGTTACATGAAATTGATTTTAAAAAATTAAAGCTGTTCAATAAATTAATTACAGTTATTATTTAAAAGTTTGTATATTCCTGGAATAGTACAGCCTGTTGAACCGAACACTAATTGAAGTCACATATGACAATGAACTCTTATTTATTCATTTCACAGGAGAGTGTGAAGGTTTGCCTTTTGAGTGTTTCACTGCTCCTCTCCCAATCCAAGCTCATTTTAAGCTCCAAAAGGGCGCTGATTCAGTAACTTTTGGCTGTAGTCCAATTCCTTATACTTAACTGGTGCCTCCTTGCTTTACAGGCTGAGGATTGGGTGTGAAAGTGCACCATAAAAGGTGCACATATGCTACCTGGCTAAACCAAAGACCAAGTAAGTCTAGTCTAAATTGCCCCAGTGTCTCATCTCTTAATGGCAACCTAGGCAGATTTGTACAACTTGAATGCTCACAAGAAATTTGCCCCTTCATCCTTTCAAAGTCTAAGGCAGATGGAGATCTTACACTTAGGAGCTTAAATTCGGATATGCTAAGCATGTAAAGTACTGTACTGACTTCCAATTTCTAGTCCTTCTGAAGGCAAAGATAACTTTCCAATAATAAAGCACAGCAGAATCATCTTTCCTGTCATTACCTAAACAGCTCAAATCAATAACCAAAGAAGGATGTAAAATTTCTCCTGCTTCATCCCAACCAGGTTTTCAACCTAAAGGTTAATGATGCCGGTGACCTTTCAGAACAACGACTGATTCTAAACTAACCGCTCCATTACTATGCTGTACCTAACCCACTACACAGATCAACATTTTTACTCCTACCATCAATTCATAGAATCATGGAATCCTCCTGGTTGGAAGGGACCTTGAAGATCATCAAGTCCAACCATAACCTAAATCCCCCTACCATAACCTAATTTACCCATTCAGTGCTTAAATCATGTTGCTAAGCACTGTATCTGCATTTCTTTTAAATACTTCCAAGGATGGTGACTCCACCACCTCCCTGGGCAGCCTGTTCCACTGTCCAAGCAATTATGATGATGGGGCAAAACTCTGCCATCTCTCTTGGAATACAAACACAGTAATGCTGTACCCAGAAGACCTCCCTGCAGAGGAGATGGAGGAGTCAGGGGAAAGAGAACGGTGACACAGGAGATGTGCATGTGACAGCAGGTTGTTTTTCCTAAGTGTACCAAAGATGGAATTGCTACACTGAAAATAAAACTGCCTGGGGTGCCCCTGGGCAAAATGGGAGGGAAGATAACAGAAATGAAAGTCTCCTAACCACTCTCCTATCCTCCTGAGAGGGAAGTGTAAGAGTGTGTATTTCAAGGGGGAGTGTGGGGGGCAGGGGGTGTGAAGCAGAAGCAGATATCATTTGAGAATAGGAGCTGAAGATAGGGAATCTGGCAGCTGCCAAGGGTTTGGGAAGAAGCCAGGAAAAAAAAAGACTTGGGAAATGAGGCATGCAGCTGTTGAGCAGCCATGAATAAATCGAGCTATAAGACAAAACTGCTGTGACAGACATGTGGGGTCAGTTTTCATAATCAACGATATCTTCATGAGTAAAAACATTTATGCAAAAGGAAAAGAAAGCAAGTCCAAATTTTAGCTTGACTGGGACCACGGAGGGCTTGCAAACACTCCCACCACCCTCACAGTAAGATTTACAAAGAGGAAGGCCAGGGAGGTCTGACAAACTGAACTGAGTGTGTGGGAAGTTTCTGGAGCAACTAAGTAATTTTGACATACACCGTTCCAGAAATAACATTTTCTAGTATGATAGGAAGAAGGAGTGTTTATTGGACTTGTAGAGAGGAAAAATGAGGGTGGTTTCAACTCTGTAATGCCCTCCAAATCAAAAGCCTGAATCAGTGCTCTTAGTGCCGCAAGGTCCATGTTTTCAAAAGGCTATCTAACCTTAAAACTCCTTGACAGAAAATAGGAAACCTCAATTCCACAAATAAACAGGCTGATTCCGAATAATTACTGAATACTTGCTGTGTACTTAGGAAGAGATTTATCAAGAGGTACAATGTTTGTGCTCCGGCATCTTGTTTGTAGTACAGAAAAACAAAATTCTGACTCCTTAAAAACTGATACATTAAAAAAATTTCCCACACATGAAGACTGCACATAGACTAACAACAAGGGAAAGACATCAAGAAAACCTTTTGAAAACCTGAATTAAACTAATTAAGATGAATTGTGCAAAAGTAGTAGTCAACATGAGGGAACAGCTAATTTCAGTAGTAAAATTATACAAGAACAAAAGGATCTTAAAAAAAATCAAATTACATTAATTTAGGCTTGTGATATAAAAAATATTTGATCAAAATCCTAATGGAATAAACATGTCAATTTTTTTCTTCTTACCTGTTTTCACAGTCAAGTGCTGGAATTCCTTTGGTATCGTTTTGAGAACAGTGCTTACTTTAAGAGCTTAAAAAAAAAAAGTGAATAATTAATTTAAGTATGTGCAGGTAAAATCTACAAGTATCAGTTCCAAGAAAGAAGTATTTCAGTTGGTATTAGAACATGTGATAATGCTAAACATACCTGAAAAAAACCCAGAAGTATCCAAATACCATCACAACACCCAAGCCCTCAAAAAGTAACAACTGTTAAGAGCACAAGAGTGAAGAACAGAAAAGTCATCTATGCCCAAATTCACATGCAACCACAAATTTTGAGAATTGGGGGTTTTGGTGTCTAAATCCATGGGACTTCTGTTTCAGAGAGGTAGTGCTTTCATAGAGCCACTTTGCAGAGCTGGGACTCATCTCTCCCAAGTGACAAGGATCTGGCTGCTTTTGGCAACTCAAACCTTTCACGCCTTTGCCAGGGAATGTCACGTGGCACCAACAGAGTCAGGGTTAAAATTCAGAAAATCCCAATCTTTGTGCTTATTCCCCTTTCACTGATGTCTATGCATCCTTTACTAATTACTGTCTTAAGGTGTTCTTAATGCTTTGTAGCATATTTTAATGCATTGTAATACATACTAGTATAAATGACCACTTGGAATGAAGTCTCTCATCTTGGTCTACCTTTATCAAATAAAACATGCTAAAAGTCTGGTTCTCATGATCCAGTTCTATCAACACTATTTTCCACATTTAACTATATTATAATCTGACAGAGTGGAGCTACTTTACTTGTATAGTTTTGAAAATGCAGGAAAATTTACTTCTACAGTCTTGAACCAGAGGTTCTTGAGTTCTGGGGAGATCTCCTCAGTCCAGAGAGTGATCTGCTCTTTCCTTTGTCAGAATGGCAATAAATGGTAGAATAAGAGGATTTGTTCTTTGGCTGAAATGGCAGGAATCTCTGCCATAAATACAGCAAACCCCACAGGACTGTGCACTGCAGCAGCTTCCCATTTGAATTAATGTGTCAGCTACCAAGAGCAAAACAAAAGTTCTTCAACTACACAGGCAAGAAAAAGAGATGCTCCAAGTAAAAGGTAAACCTGTCCTAGTCATATGAAAGCAGTAAGCTTCAAGGTTCAAGTCTTGCTCTTGTTTGTTATGAACTTTACAACAAAACAAAACTTGTCAATAAAACGTTACTTTCTTGGAACATGGTGAGTTGTCAAAACATTTTACAAACACCTGTCAAATCTGACAACCCTTCTTTGAACAAGGGCCACTAGGAATCACAAAACTGTCATGGTTGGAAAAGACCTCTAAAATCACCGAGTCCAACCATTTACCCAGGGACAAAACAAACAAACAAAAAACCAAACAACCACACACACACAAAACCATAACCACACACTCCACAAAACCAACAACAACACACAACCCCCAAAAGGCCCACCATGCCTACTAGATCATATCCCAAAGTGCCAAATCTACATGTTTCTTGAATACCTCCTGAGATGGTGACTCCACCACCTCCCTGGTCAGCCTGTTCCAGTGCCTAAATACTCTTTCAGTAAATAAATTCTTCCTAATATCTGGTCTAAACTTCCTCTGGCAACTTCAGGCCATTTCGTCTAGTCCTGCTGTTACTCACTTGGGAGAAGAGGCCAACACCCACCTCCCTACAACCTCCTTTCAGGTAGTTGTAAAGAGCAGTGAGGTCTCCCCTCAGCCTCCTCTTCTTCAAACTAAACAATCCCCATTCCCTCAGTCTCTTCTCCTAGGACTTGTTCCCTAAACCCTTCACCAGACAAATGTCCTTCTTTTAGTGAGCAGCCCAGAACTGAACACAGTACTCAAGGTGTGGCCTCACCAATGCAGAGTACAATTACTTCCCTACTCCTGCTGGCCGTCCTATTCCTGATGCAGGCCACGCTATTCCTGATGCTGGCCAACACGCCACTGGCCTTCTTGGCCACCTGGAGACACTGCTGGCTTGTGTTCATCCAGCTGTCAACCAGGACCTGGTACTTGGCCTTATTGAATCTCATACAGTTGGCCTTGGCCCAACAATCCAACCAGTCCCCATTCCTCTGCAGAGCCTTCTCCAGTCGTCTGGGAACTCCCCTGTTGAAAAGAACTGCTGATAAATGACAGAGGCACCAGTCCCTTTAGTACTCTTCGGTGAATCCCATCTGGCCCTACAGACTTCTGAGTATCCAGGTGCCATAGCAGGTCCTTAACTGCTTCCTCCTGGATTACAGGGAGTTTGTTCTGCTCTCCATCCTTCCAGGTGTGAAAACTGAATACCCTGGAATTAGCTGGTCTGACTATTCAAGACGAAGGCAAATAAGGCATTAAATATCTCAGCCTTTTCCTCATCTTTGGTTGCAATGTTCCCTCTCATCCAATAAGGGATAGAGATTCCCCCTGGCTCTCTAATTATTGTTAATGTATTTATAAAACTTTTTTTATTGTCCCTTATGACAACAATCAGATTGAGCTCCAGCTGGGCTTTTGTCTTTCTAGTTCTCTCTCTGTATGACTTCACAAGATCCCTGTACTCATTTTTAGTTGCTTACCCCTTCTTCCAAAGGTGTTAAAATTCTCCTTTTTTTCCCCCCCGAGTCCCAGCAAAAGCTCTCTATTCAGCCAGGCCAGTCATCTGCCCCACCATTTTGTTTCACAACACATGGGTACAGCCTGCTCTTGTGCTCTTAAGACTTCCTTCTTCAAGAGTGTCCAGCCTTCTTGGATCCCATTGTCCTTCAGGACTCTCTTCTTAAGGGGTTGGCCCAATCAGTGTCCTAAAAAGGCCAAAGTCCACCCTCCAGAAACCCACGGAAGTCCATCTGCCAAACTCAGTCACATCTAAGTGTGGAAGGCGATTCAGGAATGTGGACTATACCTTGTCTCACAGCTCTGATGCAAACTCAGCATGTGCACAGCTGGGAGGTCAAGATGTATCATTCTTTTTTATATATATATAATCCTCAGCTCTTAGAATAAGGCAATAAAAAAAAAACCCACAATTGTTTTGTTTCTACAGCCGAGGGGTAGGTACAGCAGGTGAGAACCTGAAAGGTCAGGAAAAGGGCATATAAAAGAGAATGACTGTGTGACGATCCAGTGTCGATTCTGGAAGCCCTAGTAGCTGCTGAGTGGAAAAAGAAAAAGATCAATTTCACATGCCTTGCTCCTGACAGATTTCAAGTGAAATAAATGCATCAAGTATTTGCAATCCAGTCTGTCCGAAACTTTTATTTCGTGAGAAAATATAGGGACTTTTTTTTTTTTTAAATAACAGCTAATTTTGAAGTTTTGCTAGTTCCTGCAAAAAGGGAAATCCAAACACTGGCACAACGTAGTTTTGAGTCTTACAAAACTCCTGATAACAACAATTACAACTTTTTTAAATTAAGTACTGCAGCATTAATTGCTTTAGGACTACATGTATTTTAGAAGGTGCATTTTGTATCATTCATGTATAACACAAATTATTTTTAAGCAAACACATCCATTTATTTGTCTTCAACTCAGCTGCTGTCAATGACTTAAAATAAATGTCTTCCTTTTAAATCTATAGCAAGACATAGCCAACTTAGAAATTAAAAACAGCATTGCTTCTGTAGGCAAATATAAGGAATTACTAATAACACACAGAACTTAATCCATAACAGAGAGGGGGAAACATTATTTATTTCAATACCTTGTTTGTCATCTTTCTTTGAGTCTTGCAACAGGGCAGAGTTGTCAGGTACCTCTTCAGCAGATGCCTTCTTAAAGAAAGAAGATGTATCTGTTACACTGACTGGCATAGCACCCACATATTCAGATTCACAGCAAACAGATGGACACAAATAAAGGTGATGCTCTCGCACCATGATTTCCTTTGCAAAATAAAGAAGCATCGAGGACCTTGAGAAAGACATCTATAACTCTGCTTTTCAAGGTACAGCAGTTCCACACTGGAATTAAGTTTGAGAAGCCCTTCAACAGTGACTCACAAGGAGCTAAGGACTATACATAAGGAGAGCCTTCTCACAAAAGAGCAATGTCACACTGTGTTTTCTTTTCTCTTTGGGTGTAACACCCATGTTAGGGTTGAGGAAACTTTCTCAAGGCCAAGAGATAGAGTCTTCATCCTAACAGTCTCTCCAGCCAAAACTCCAGCTGCACTGCAGAGCCCACTAGTTCTGTATCTAAGGTCTTCCAGCAGAGTTGGCTGATCTTTGGACTGCTCTTTTCTTTCAGCACTGAGATGGGAAAAACAAATTTCACCAGCACATCTGCTGGAGGCCCATTCAGGCTTCTCATGGGAAAACAGGGAACTTCACCCCAAACTTACTCCTTAACTTTATTTTAGTAGCAACTTGTAATTCAGGCTTTTGTTGTTCTTGTTACTTCTGCTGCATAGCTCCCAAGAAGGAACCAGGAACAAATTCTACTACCATTATCTGTAAGAATAAGGATATGCTCTGCAGCCAAAACAACAATAAAGCTAAAGTCAGAAACCTCAAACTTCTCTAAATATTAAGCAGTGCTGATTTTTCCCAGTGAGCATGGAAGAGGCTGGGCTTCAAAATGGCCTGAAATCCATCAGGCCTAAAAAAAATTAATTCAGGAACACAGATTTTGCAGATGATACAAAAAAAATCCCCAAATTTAAAGTCAGTAATTCAAGAAGGCCAATTCTAGAGTAAAGGGCTATCAGATCTGTTTTAGAAAGTTGCATGAGGGATTCCCTAATGCTCCTGAGGAACCAACATAGACAAAAATATGGCTCGAGGACTCTGAAAACATTTGAAGAAAAACCTCCTATCTAAATTAAAGAGTGCCAGACCAAAGCCCTAATTCTGAATGAACTGATGCTTGAATTGATAGACAGAAATTTCAATGAACTGTGAACATTACATTACTGAGGGGGTTTAGAGCAACCCCAGCCAGTTGTTTTATGCATATAGTGTTAAACTGTGTTATATCTTTAAGCTTTGGCAGTGAGAAAACTTGTGGAAAAGAGCCAACATAATGGAAGAAAAAGAAAAGAAAAAATACCACATCAGAACCAGAGTGGGAGACAAAAATTTGAGAAAGAAAAAATAGGAAGACAAAACCTCCTTGGTTAATAAAAAGCAGTCACCCTTGTCATTCTTCAGCATAACATTAGCAGTCTTTTTGTGTTTTGTAAGTTTAACAAAATCTAGCGTTCAGGTGACCTGTGTCCTGCCATTATTTTCTTTATGGATGCATTAAAAAAATGTTTCCATTGTACTACAATAGTTCAGAAGTGACAGTAAAAGTCATCTTCAGAAATTAAATAGCCTTAATGGATGATAGGTGGAAAAAGACAAAGATATGGGCATAATGCATAACTGATTATATCAATAATATAATATAATATAATATAATATAATATAATATAATATAATATAATATAATATAATATAATATAATATAATATAATATAATATAATATAATATAATATAATATAATATAATATAATATAATATAATATAATATAATATAATATAATATAATATAATATAAT